TTGACGAGTAATGCCATCGCACGGTTAGGACTGTTGCAGGCTCTCCTTTTCCCGTTGCTTTTCCGTTTTCTAACGAACGAGGCTATAGTGGGACTGGCTATGTGACGGGGATAATTTATTCCCTTCAAGTCCCTCCCAATTGAAGTTGAACCGTGAGAATCACGGAGTAAATATCACCGTCACGCCGCACTGCATGGCCACGGCATGCATTGGTCGAGGAAATACGGCGGAATTAGATAAAGCATTATGATCAACCTCTAAGCCTATCGATCCTGGGCTTGAGGCATAAGACTCCTCCCGGAGATAGAACTGGAACTCTGAACTTCCGTCTGAAATCGTTGGTTGAAAATAGCAACTTGAAGATCCTCCATTTAAACTGTGTAAATCACTCAGGAACATTTGAATACCTTCGGCGACGAACGGCGGAGACACAATATGCATGTGAAATAAAAGCATGAAGCGGATGCCCCGTACAAGGCTTGTGATTCACATCAAGAGGCAGAAACTAGGCGGGGGATTCTGATTAGAAATCGACTATTTTACGCCACACATTGGAGAACCGGTCTGGCTTCACCCAAACAGTGCAGAAAATGGCAACTGCACTCAGCAGACCACATACTCATAGTCGGCTTTGAGATTTTCAAAGCTTCGACTGGGCAATGTGGAAGCGGAAGGGGCCAGTAATTGTCTAGTTTGATATTGAACAGGGCAAGTAAGCGACACTAAACGGAGGCTGAGCCTCCGAAAAAAAGAATCAAGATTTCTAAGAGAGGATGAAGCGGAAGTTGAAGCATAGAGAATTGTCCCCACCGTCTGCATTCCAGAAGTTTCAGTCATCCGAGCGTTATCCTCGTGTTGCAGACTCGGGTCCTTGGTATATCATGCCTGTTCAATTGTTGGCTGAGTATGTTCCTGGTGCAGAAAGACAGCTTTCACTTCCTCCTGAAATCATGTGTAGCCAATACTGAACCGAACATACCTGAGTCCTATACGAGTTACAACAATGTTATTCTACAGTAGCGCGAAGAGTTTGACGTGAGGTCAGGGAGGAGGTTTGACTGAAACAATCAGCGAAAAATTTGACTGCATGCATTTCCTGTCAAGGGGAGGGAACTGTGAGCTGAAATTCATCACGACTTTGATGAGACACTTGCAAAGGATAGATTAAGTCAAAAGGTCTGGGGCGCGTAATTATATAGGTTGAAAGTTGACAAAGAGGACCAGTTGACTCGGAATGCAGAGTACTAGGAATCGTAAGGGCCTAAAAAAACGGAGGTTTGAATATAGACAGTCTAGTTAAGTAGTAAGCCTCACGTCGAGACTCGACTGCTATACTGGCAGCCATAGAAAGGGAAGAATGACAATCAGCAAATTTGAATCTCACCGGGTTCAAATACGGCCATCGTTCCTTGTTCATCACAGAGTTACTGTGAACGTAATGGAATGCACGCAAAATTGGGAACTTGTGCCGGTCCCCGGATCACGCATAGTCTGCTGCTGCCGCGTTGCGGTATGCGGCGTCTCGGCCATGTCATGCCGCACGTTCGGCATGATTGATTCATGTCATACGCATCATTCCCGACGTGAGCTGGACAGTTTGTGTTGGCGCCACTGCTTCTTGATGCCAAGCGAAAAGACCCATGCACTATATACTCAATCGATTATTCAGGACCGGACGCAGCACCTGTCGCACTGCATGTCAGGACTCAAAATACTTTTTACAGGTTTAGAAACAGGCTTGCATTACCTGCGCTTACCTCCTTACAGAAAGGAAACCCGGTTTCATTTCTGCCACATTCGGCGCAAATTAATATTCCGTCGCAGTGGTTATTATTACCTCGGCGCAGACGGACGCTCTCGCTGATTGTGGCTCTCGCCGCTGATTAATATTGCGGATTGCGCAGAGGCAGGGTGATTCGCAATTCCTGACAACGACAACGATGAGCCGACAAACAGGCATGCTTATCGCCGCTGTTCGCAACTTGCGTGTCCCGCCGTTTTCGCGTGCGCGCATTTCGGTTTCGGGTGGGGATAGGTCGGTGATGTAGGTTCGCAGTTCGGGATTGATATTCCGAGAGAGAGGATGACAGGGCAGAGCAGAGCGCCACGAGGGTCGCGACCCCGGGATTTCGAGAACGCAGAGCGCCACCGTTGTGTAGGGTTGCAGTTCGGAATTGATATTCCCAAAGGGAGGATGACAGGGCAGTGCAGTACGCCACGAGGGTGTGGTGGCGCGCTGCAAATTGGCCGTGAGCCCACGAGGGGGGTTTGCAGCGCCTCATGCGCGCCCGTCGTTGCTCTTGCCGCCGCGTTATTTTCATGTCCAATCCTCTTCGGGAGCGGGGTTTACTTCATGAATTGCTCCCCGTCCAGGAAGTCGAAGCCCTGCCCACGTCGAATCGAAGCTTCGGACCGGCCTGCAGTACTTCTTCGCACCGCGAGCCGCCAGTCGCAGGCGTCGTTGGTCGCCTAGTGGCTGCGAGACCGGCAGGGAATGCCTCGGAGCCGGCCGCGGAAGAGAGTAAGCAGAGAAGGTTGGTGAGGTGTGTCGCATGATGAGTCTTCAAATTATCACTGGTCGCTATCGGAGCACTGAGAGCCTCCACAGCCAAGCTCTGAAAACCTTTCGCGTCCAAGATCTTTATTAGTTTCTTGGTCTCCACTTGCTGGATCCCTTCTCGTCTCTCCTGCGTTGCTGTCCGGTTATTCAGTACGTATTCCTCCATCCACTCCCCGGATATCCACAAAACATACTCGATACGTATCCGTCGTCGTCGGCGAACTGCGCTCCGCAGCTCGCCGCTCTGGGTGCGCTTCCCGTTTCCAAGCAAGCTGCAATTTATCATCTCGTCGCGGACCCGCTGGGCGGTCAAGGAAGCATTACAGGTACTCCCTCGCGGCAGCGTAAAGTTGGGGGATCAGGCTCCGCGGGAAGGGTGCATCGAGGCCGACGGTGGGGGGAAAAAAAGATGACTTGGACGGAGAGAGACGGAAAGAACACCCGGAGACGGAAACTGATGCGATCACCGGCCGTATGATTGATCAGATCGCATCCCCGGACCGATAGATGAGGCCGGCGGGTTGAAATCCTGCGTCACCATTTCTGTCTCCGACGAAGCAGGAATTGATGCGCGGAGAAGGAGCAAAATAATGTGTGGAAAGCGTTTACCTGCGTGAGTGCCAGTGTGACCGCGATGAACAGAGGAAGGAAGGAAGGAAGGGACGAACACGGGTGAGAATACTGTACTCCACTGAGCACAAGCCACAACTTTCGTGGACGCTTTTCTCCGGAGGGACAAAAATCCCTACTTCGTCGGAGGGAGAAGCGTACGCCAGAGCGGGGAGCGGGACGGTTGTTTGGCGGAACCATACTACTCCACACCCGAGCACACGAGCCTTCGCAAATTCCTGCTCTGTCGGAGACACGCACAAAACGAAGAAGGACTCGGGCAGAGCCTATGCCGGCTCTATCTAAATCCAAGTTCCTCAGAACTCCGAGTCATTCCACCCTGAAGTTTTTGCGCTCTGTTTTCATTCTCGGCAGGGTTTCTTTACACTGGATGGGTGCCTTCACACTTACACTTGAACGCGTCCTTTGCATTGTCGCCGAGTCTTTAATACTAGCGTATGATTCCCGAACAACATGGCAATGCTTTCAGCATGTAGCACACGACGACAGCTTCCTGCTCTGGAGTGCCGATTTTCATGAGAGCTCAACGCTTCTCCGGCGGGACGAAAATCCCTGCGTCGTCGGCGACAGGTTTGTGCTTCTTCAGCGATGCTTCTTCTGAATCCTTCAGAATTTGTGTTTCTTTAGCCTTCGTACATTACCCTTCTGCTTCTCCGGCGATTGCTGGAAGACACGGTGCAGCACAGAACTTCAAGTCCCCGAATCTCAACGTTAATTCTAAATCCTGCTCCGTCGGAGGGGGATGCCAAACCGTCAATTGCATCGGCGCTGGAGCCCAAGCAGTTTTGATGCTTCTCCGTAAAATCTCCTTAGCGGATTTTTCACTTCACTTCTCCCGAGGGACAAAAATCCCTACGTTGGAGGCAGACGTTAAACGTGCTTCCCCGGCAAGAAACGGTCCAACTTGACTGTTAACCAAAATTGTCCATGGACAGTCCATAAATGGAAGGATCCGCGCGATACAGCCCACCTAGCACGCGTCCGATATTCGAAGGGTTCAAAAAGCCTCGCTATTCGTTGTTGCCTTCCTCTTCTTATTTTCCACCTGGTATTTCCAGCCTCCTCGTATCTCCCGCCTCGTCGTATTTCATCGGAGGAAGCATGGCATCTTCATGCCCAAAGCTGCACAGTACGGCAAAGGGGTTGAGTGTGGTTCAGGACATGTTCGAAGCGAATTCGAAGATTCACGAGGTTGGATTTGGATTTGGATTTGGATTTGGCGCTTCTCCGGGCGACGAAAATCCTTGCGTCGTCGGAGACAAGCACTAAACGTCAATAATTGATTTCGTGCTTCTAAGTGCCTCGGCGAGATGTTGTACTTTACATTTTAGGAGTTTCGACGAAGCTGCTTCAGGGCGGCGCACGATCTTCGCAGGGCCAAATAAATGAACCATTCATTGCTATTTTGCTAGGCCCGAAGTATTCGTCTGCGCTTCTCTTCTCCGGAACGACGAAAGTCCCTGCGTCTTGCTGGCAAATAATCAAAATGATGGGTCCGCACAACTTAGAATGTAACTTGTGTTGTCCGATTCTTCTGAGTGGATCCGGGTTTCTAATCCCCGACGGTGCTCTTCATAACTCTCCGTCTCTTTTTGTTTCGATCGATTCTTTGTTTTTGTCGGAGACATTCTAGGTTTTTTTAACTCCGCCGTATCCCTCAAGCGGTAGTTGCCTCCCCTTAGATTCCAGGTCAGGCCAGCACTTTGGAATCATGCAACATAGTTCAATTACTCCATGGTTTATGGTGTTTGTGAGGTCGAGGTGCTATATCTCTGCATATGGGATCTTGAAAACTTTACCACGCAATCATGCGCTCTTAGTGTAGTGGTAACACGTCCTCATGTTAATCGAGGAGATCCTGGGTTCGATTCCCAGAGGGTGCCTGTGATAGCGATTTTTTGTCTTTTTCCTCTTCGTGTGTACCGTAGTGTCTCGACCAAGTCTTCACGGCCTGTGACGCGTTATGGCGAGTCTTGACTGGATAAGGTCTTCATTGCGTGGGAAATTACCTCATATGGAAGTTCGGCCCACTCAAACTTCGCTCGGCGCGATCCGGCAGACCATTTTTCGAGCCAAATTTTGAGTCGTGACCGTTATGGGCACCAAAAGTCTTCACTTCACAGACCTCCGTGACGCGTTATGTGAAGACTTGGTCGAAACACTACAGTAGTGTTTTCTCTCTCTCTCTCTGTCTTCCTTGTGGTCCCGCCTTTCCCTTCATGCGCAACTGAATTCGTCAGTGGTGTTCGACTCACTTTTCGACTTGCGGCTGAGGAGACTTCAACAGGTACGATTGCTGACGGAGATGAGAGTAGAAAACTGGAAAACCTAAGCCAGCTGATCCGGTTTGATCGGATCCCTGCCAAGTTCACAGCACTTGCACCTTCATCCGCAACAACGCAAGGATAGCTTTGGGCGGCAGATAAAATGGCAGGTGTATGCATACTTAATCTATCGTCAGGAGTTGAGGAGATGATCCAAGAAATGGAGCGGAAGCGCTACTGTTGCACATTTTTCGGGCCGCAAACTGTATCGTTTGAGCTTGGCTCACACGCCGTTAGTGTACTGTTTACCAAGGATTAGCCCACACCTTACACTGTAATGCCATTGCGGGGTCTAGTGCTCCAGTCTGAGGAGGTGCCTGCGTCTGGTCGTTTGTTTTTCTGGCCCGTTTCCCCCCCTTCCTCGTATTTTTATTTCACGTTCCTTTCATACAAATAGCCGTGCCCTCGCAGAGTCGCCCAGGAGATGGACGACAATTTTATCAACCTTGATATTGTGAATGTTAGAAATTAACTTATGCCGATCTTCAACGATCATCGAACCCGCGGGAGGTATACCTCAAAGTCTCCGTGCCATCTTACGCCACGGAGGAACCGTTGCATCCATAGTGCATACCAACCGAGTGTGAACTAGTGCGGCGGGGAGAAGATGGTCTCGGGGTCGCCTTCGTCCAACGCAATGGGATAGAATCTGCATTGGAAGAAGCAAAACCACGGAAAAGATGCAGCACCAATGTCTGCACCTCCATTTCAATTATGTTTTCAGTGTTGTTTTCCCCCATCCTAGTGGTTCCTCCCAAGTTTCATTTCTGTTTCCTCTCCATGTATGCACAGCTGATTTTTTTTCATTGGTCTGTACTTAATTTACATGTACAGTGTTCGATCGACGGACGCCGAAAATTCCATTTCTGGTTCAAAGTTAGTTGACTCGCCGCATTTCCGATGGTGGGAATCCTAAACGCAATCTGTAGTCTTGCCGGTACACTGGCCCTTGGGCCTTCGAGAGTGTGTGCTGATTCATACTTGTTCGGGCCAACGACACGTCCGGCGGCCCGAATGTATAAGCACAACGGATGTGTGGCAAGCCTACTCTGTACTTTGGATCCCTTAATGGAGTTACTGGCAGTGGCGCCAGATTAGTTATGCTAGTGGTCGAGTTTGGTCCGGCATAAAGGCGTTTCAAAGTCCGATGGAAAGTTGCCATTTTAGAGTTTCGTTGGAACCGAATTTAGACAAGAAGTACCGATTATTTAAATAAACTGCGACGAAAACCGTATATTTCTCATCGCTGTCAGTTTGCTGATTCATATCTGAAGCGGCGAAGGGCATCTTGTTTGATCTGGCCATTCCGGCCATCAGGCCACGCAAGGTTCCGAAATCGGATACAGAAGGCTGCACTTCGTCAATCTCCAATCTGTAATAACTTTCCGTCGTTACCAAGATTCAAGGTGTGTAATGTGTCTGTCATTGACATTTGAAGCTGTGATCGGTCAATTCAAGGAGTCGCTTCCAGCTCAGATCCCAACCACGAGATGAGAATCATGCACTCAGTGACTCTGCATAAGCTTTCAAGTATATTTGATTATACAAAGTCTTCCGTTGGTCGCAACTCTCCAAAAACGAATATTCCTGGCTGTCGTATCCGACTTGTATCCGACTTTATTATCGATACCGATTGATACGGGAGTTTTTGCCTTTTTCGGACTCAGTGCCTGCCTTCTAGCCGTAATTGCGCGTTCGGATTGGCCAGCTTGTGGGATATGACTGTACAATCTGTGTCTGCTGCTGACTTACTTGCTCGTTTCCTGTCGTTGGAAGCGGGGTCCCGTAGATGCTTACCCCAAAGCAGTTGATCATGCAATTCCTAGTATAAAGAGAGGCCGATTGAACACGAGATTCTGTATCCCACAACTTTCGCCCGTTTGACTTCTCAACCGCATCACCAAGCGATCTTACTGTCATGTCTGCTCTATTTACTCCGCTCAGACTCGGGAATGTCACCATTTCAAACAGGATTGGTAGGTGCACCGTAAGGACCTTCAATCGTAAGACGCTGACCGTATTATCTAGGGATGAGCGCTCTCACCCGCAACCGTGCATCGAAGGAAGGTGTTCCCAATGAGGTCATGAAGAAATATTACGATCAGCGTGCCCGCGGAGGCGCCGGAATTATCGTGTCCGAAGGGACCCTCATTACGCGCCAAGGGTGGGTTCAATCTGACCAGGACTGCGTGCTGCTGATGAAATGATTTCGAAGTACTGAATGGCCGAATGCCCCTGGCATCTGGAGCAAATCCCAGGTCGAAGCTTGGAAGAAAATCACGGACTCCGTGCATGCACATGGTAGCAAGATATATTGTCAGGTTTGTCGCAATATCAACCGAGCATGGTGCCTCAATACTCATCATTGTCTTTACCAGCTTTGGCATCGTAAGCGGCTTACTGTTTCCCATTTTTAACTTCTTTTGCCTAACGAACCATGCAGTTGGTCGTATCAGTCACCCAGAAGCCCCCGAACAAATTGCTGCTGGTGTGGTACGTTGTCAAATTATGCAAAAGGTGCAAATGGAAGTTGACTTACCCCAAGCCGGTGTACGCCCCATCTGCTATCTCTGCCCGTGGAGGTGAATTCCGCTATATCGCGGGAGCACCTGGATACGTTACGGTGAGTTCTCTCCGCAGACTGCCTACACATACTCAGGGCCACCTAGCCCACGGAAATCGCGGACCCTACCATCTTGATCGCGCTGTTCAAAGAAGCCGCTGTCAACGCAAAGGAGGCAGGTTTTGACGGCGTCGAACTTCACGGCGCGACCGGTTATCTCGTGAACCAGTTCCTCGATAGCACAGCCAACCAGCGCAAGGACAAGTGGGGAGGAAGCATTGAGAACCGCTCGCGCTTCGCGCTGGAGACTCTTAAGGTGCTCATCGACGTCTGGGGACCAGGGGGAGTCGCAATCAAACTCAACCCAGGAAGGTCTCCTTCTTGCGATCTCAAACATACCATCTGACGATGTACAACCCTCAGCTGGTGGAATCAACGATGTGGGGATGCCACTGCAGGAAAACATCGACACCTTCAGCTACCTGCTTCGCGAGATAAACAAGCTCCGGCTTTCCTACGTAGCACTCCTGCGGTATGTCGCCTGGCTTGACTTCGAAATCGACGGTCCGTCCCTTCCCATGCGTCATCACGTTGCCCCCGTCGCTCAATCAAATACTATTGTAGGAAAAAAACGGGCCACCAACCACGACGTCCTTGAGACCTACAGCCCGATCCTCACAAATACCCCCATCTTCCTTAACGGCAATGTCACGCCTGCTGAGGCCGAGGAGCTGGTAGGCAGCGGGAAAATCGCAGGGGTTTTCTTTGGAATGAATTGGGTCACGCATCCGGATGTGGGCAAGCGTATCCAGGCTGGAAAGGCGCTGGACAATGTTCCTGATTTCGCGACTTTGTACGGGGCACCCGGCGTGGACGCCGCCTTGGGCTATGTGGATTATAAGGAGGCGGTATATTAGAAAGGAAGTTTGGTTGCCAGATCGCTCGCTTCTTAGTAGTCGTTTCGTTGAATTAGAAAAAACAAAACGCAGATATTCGTTCGCTAAAACCAGAAAACCCACGTCCATCGCTTGACCGTGGAATCTGAATTCATTTTCAACGTCCCAGTAACAGAGGCGACTGACCAGCATTTTGAATGACAACATGTTGTAATGCTCCTCCTCAAATTTCACCAAAGCCAGCGACGTCTGGCCATTTCTTCGCCGATTTTGCAGCGGTTGAGTGCTCTTCTCAACCGAAATGTAACTTTGCACCATTTCCTTTGAGTATTCCCGGAATGGGGAACAATAGCTCGCGACGCGGCAACGAATGGGGGGAGAGACATTGGTCGAAATGGCATTTTAAAATGGTTTTGACGGTAGAAGTATGCTGGGGAGTCTGTTCGTCCCCACACCCGCGTCAAGACTCAACACGCCGCCCGGTTGAACGTATATGTCGTCAAACTCGTTGTCCTCAACGGAAGCAGCCAGGTTGTTCCTGACTTTGTCGCGGCTGCCACCGTCGAGAAGTCTTCCGTCGCGCTGGTGCGGATGGCGGAGACTGAGCAGACCATGTCCGGGAACGTGAGTGTCAGGGTGGAGTCGGTAGTGTTGGGGTTCATTGCGATGATGTTGTATGTGGTCGGCGTAGCAACTGCCATCATCCACTGCTGCACGTCGGTGCCTGTGAGCGCGTGGCGTACGCTCCCCGCTTCAACAAAGAAGTAACCGGGTAATTAGTGCAGTTGAAGCCTGATGGACTGAGGAAATCGCACGTTTGACAAAGTTCCCAAAATGCTTGTAGGTCCAGAAGTGCTTGGTGAGATCTGCAAATACATCAGAAATTCGATTCGAATGACGATAGATGGAGCTATGGACAAAGGGCGAAGTTTTTGTTTGTAGCGTAGGCTGGGTCGTAATACACCAAGCCGTCCTTGAATAATTTTTGAGCGACATTCCAAAAGACAAGTTTCAAATTCGCACAGTCCAACCGGCAGAATTCGGCGTTGTGGGGCAGTTTGGATTGTTTAGCGGTGAGCATCCAAGGCCTGTTCCTCGAA